AGTAAAATATTTGTAAAAAGATATTTTAAAAAATTAATAAATATTTACAAATACAAAAAATGTATTGAATTTGCGTATTATTTTTTTGTAATTTTGGTATTTATGGATTTTTTTAAAGATTTTTTTTTCACAAATATGATATTTTGTAAAGTAAAATATTTGTAAAAAATTAATTAATATAAAAAAATATAAAAAAAATGTACAGAATTTTTATATTTTTTTTTGTAATTTTGGTATTTAGTGATTTTTTTAAAGATTTTCTTTACAAATATTAAAAAAATTTAGATCTATCTAAAAAGTATAACATTTGTAAAAAATTAATAAATATCCAAAAATACAAAAATGTATTGAATTTTCGTATTATTTTTTTGTAATTTTGGTATTTATGGATTTTTTAAAGATTTTTTTTTTACAAATATTAAAATTTGGTAAAGTAAAATATTTGTAAAAAATTAATAAATATACAAAATATAAAAAATGTATTGAATTTTTATATATATATTTTTTTGTAATTTTGGTATTTAGTGAGTTTTTAAAGATTTTTTTTACAAATATTTAAAAAAATTAGATGTATCTAAAAAGTAAAATATTTGTAGAAAAATATTTTAAAAAATTAATAAATATTTAAAAATACAAAAAATGTACAGAATATATATAATTTTTTTTTGTAATTTTGGTATTTAGTGATTTTTTTAAAGATTTTCTTTACAAATATTAAAAAAATTTAGATCTATCTAAAAAGTATAACATTTGTAAAAAATTAATAAATATCCAAAAATACAAAAATGTATTGAATTTTCGTATTATTTTTTTGTAATTTTGGTATTTATGGATTTTTTAAAGATTTTTTTTTTACAAATATTAAAATTTGGTAAAGTAAAATATTTGTAAAAAATTAATAAATATACAAAAATATAAAAAATGTATTGAATTTTTATATATATTTTTTAATTATGTTATTTAGTAATTTTTTAAAGATTTTTTTTACAAATATTTAAAAAAATTAGATGTATCTAAAAAGTAAAATATTTGTAAAAAAATATTTTGAAAAATTAATAAATATCTAAAAATACAAAAAAATGTAGTGAATTTTTGTATTATTTTTTTGTAATTTTGGTATTTAGTAATTTTTTAAATATTTTTTTCACAAATATGATTTTTTTCCCCATAAATATGCTTCATACTGGTTAAATGTAGTACAAATTTATGTGGGTGTGTGCATGTGTGTGTGAGAGAGAGTCTGCAAAGCTAGGAAACTATGGTTGAAAATTTGACAAAGAGATCTTATATTTGTAATTTACTTATTTTATTTATTTATTTTTACATTTTATCTTCTCGGGATTCAAGAACAAAATTGATTTGCTCACAGATTTGTGTTGGAATTGCCAAACTGACGGAGAGGATCTGTAAGGCACTTGACAGGCACTTGACAGGCTCTTGACAGGCTCTTGAAGACTGGTCAAGTGCCTTTTGTATCCTCTCTGTTAGTGTTGCACTTTTAATGCAAGTTTGTAAAAAATTCAATTTTGTTCTTAAATTCCGAGAAGGTCAATATTTTTTCGTTAACGACAGTGCTTCATACTGGTTAAAACTTAAGTACATGTACAGCACAAATTTGTATTTGTGTGTGTCAGAGAGAGAGAGAGAGAGAGAGGGAGAGAGTCTGCAAAGCCAGGGAACTATGGTTGGAAATTTGACAATGAGATCTTACATTTATAAATTACATTTTTTTTTTAAAAAAAAAAAATTAAGAAAAGTTTGCCTTGTTGTAAAGCCTAATAAACAGACACCCATCCTTGGGATTTTAGGATTCTTGACACCCTTCTGATCGTTGATTTCTATTGATACATTGATATATGGTTGATCGTTGATTTCTATTGATACATTGATTCATGGTTGACAAGAAGTTTTTAGCGCCACTTTTTCCTGGTGATCAAGAGACTCTTGATTTTCCATGTCAATTCACTTGTCATTTTCATCTTGCTCAAGTCTTAGAACTGTTCGACAGAAATTTTATTTCACCTAATTTGGGTAGATACACAATTTCTTAAATCAAAATAAAGCATCAAGAAAATGTATAAAAACCAAAAATATTAAGACATCTCCTTAAAAAATAAAAAAACAAAAATAATCACCACGTTTGGTTTCTATTTTTTTTTAAAAAATTACTTTTTCGTATAATAAAAAGGTGACATTGAGTTTATTATTTTGGTTAGTTGGTTTGAGTGAGATTTTTGTTTTGTATGTGCTTGTCTTCCTTTTGTATTTCATTTTGTGCCAAAGACATTTCATGTTCGAACCTGTAACTTTTTATTCCATAGATGTGTGAATAATGTTGTTATTTGTCTTATTTTTTATCATCATTTATAAAATTCTTATAGTATTCTCTACATTGTTGTAGGAATGCTTCATCCTCTCAAATAAATGAACAGAAAAATGACATCCCATTTATTCCCGAGGACATCATTTTTCACATTCTTGTTTGCCTTATTGCTGAGTTTTTGCATTACTGTGGGAAATTTGTGTGCAAGGCTTTTGCCAAAATTATATATGATCCTTCTTATATCAAGGCACACCTCCTTCAATCAAAGGATGCCTTGTTCATCCAAAAATTTGGTGAGCCATATCATTTATGTTTCCTTGAGTTTAATGAGGGAGAATTCAAACATCACACCTAAACTGTCATGGACATATGGTCTCTAGTTGTGGTGGCTTATCACTGTTTGGCTCATGTCCTGAGAGATTTCTTTTTGTTGGGAATCATGTGACACAAAAGTATAAGAACCTACCTTTTCCTATTGCGAAAGGTCATCTCTTGCTCTCTTGTCATATTGGTTACATTTCTTGCACTGAGGAGTACAAGGTGGTTTGCCATTGTGAAATATCAGGTGGAGAATATAGGTGGTTTGTATTGTCTGTGGATAAAAATAACATGTCATGGAGAAGAATGGAGACTTCACTAAAAAGAATCAGTTTTTATTGTGATGATGGAGCTTCAGTGTCTGTTGGAGGCGATATTTATTGCTCTCAAATGAACAGTCATATTTTTGCTGTTGACCTGTATGATGAACCTTCTCACTCCATTCAAGTTCCAAATGAATTTGTTGGGAGTTGTTATAGTCTTCTTGAGCTGGGGAATAGTTTATCTTTCATTGTGAGACATTTGGCAGAGGTTCATGTATGCATATTAAAGGACTTACGTTGTAATGAATGGGCTAAACGTGGCTTATCATTGTTTTCAGGCTCATATCCTGAGAGATTTCTTTTTGTTGGGAATCATGTGACACAAAAGTATAAGAGCCTACATTTTCCTATTGCGAAAGGTCATCTCTTGCTCTCTTGTCATATTGGTTACATTTCTTGCACTGAGGAGTACAAGGTGGTTTGCCATTGTGAAATATCAGGTGGAGAATATAGGTGGTTTGTATTGTCTGTGGATAAAAATAACATGTCATGGAGAAGAATGGAGACTTCACTAAAAAGAATCAGTTTTTATTGTGATGATGGAGCTTCAGTGTCTGTTGGAGGCGATATTTATTGCTCTCAAATGAACAGTCATATTTTTGCTGTTGACCTTTATGATGAAACTTCTCACTTGGGGATTAAAGTGGGTTGGGGAAAATCCAAACCCATTAGGAAATGGGGAGGGTGGTACCCATGGGAAATGGGGAATGGGGAATGGAGAAAATTTATTATAGGGGAATGGGGATGGAGAATTAATATCCACCCCATTAATCCCCATTGCCATCCCTACATTTTCTTCACCAAATAAACTCAGCCACCTTACCAAACAAAAATGCTAAAGATAAACTTGAGCCTAAATGTCTTGCGAGAATAATATACAATAAATAAACATATTATTTAACAAGAATATTTGGCTCTCATAACAAACATAATCGACAATTTATTCATAATATTCGTCTATAATAATACAAGTTTATTCAAATCCATAAATGCCATATCAGGTTTTTTGGTTGGTATTATAATAAATATTGCCCTCAGCAGCATCATATCTCCATACTTCCAAAATTAAGCAATTCCTATTGCCAATAAAACATGGTTGCTCTTAAATAGTGACAAAATTATATCAATTCACCATCCAGGAAGAACTACTTCCCTAATTGGACCCGGACTTTGTATAGACTAGTAAATTAAACAAAATCTAAAATCATTTGGGTTTTGGGCAACATAATAGGAGAAACCTATTAGAAAAACTACTTTTGATAAAGTATTGACAATTTAAAAGTCCTTGTTGAAGTCATGATTGATATTACCAAATGGAGACTCTACGTATGTTTCATCGCGTTTTGATTAAACATTAGACTCATAACTCACGTTTCATCAGGTTTATATGCTCTCAACAATATATAGAAATATGTTATAAAACTTTTCTAATCATTTTGAAATATATGTTTCATTTTGTTACCAAACATTTTAGGACAATGCTATAGTACATATCAAGTTATGACATTTGTAGGTATGATTATCATAAATGTCATAATTTAATTCTATGATATAGTCATAATTAAAAATAAAAAAGATGAAACATAGCATGAGGCATACAGGGACCCTATAATCTCCAATTTGATTCCTTATTGAAGTGTGTCTAATAAGAAGAAAATAAATTGTGGTCTGTATGTTACATGGTTTGTTTCTTCTTCATTAGAACATTTTTTGAATTCATTTCAAGGCTTTTAATATAATTTATTAGTCCATTCTAAACTTAGCAAATAATTGAATTTGGAGTTTTACTGTTTGTGGAAATTACAGCACCCAGAGATCATGATTCAGTACCCATATGGAACAAAGGAAAATGTTTCAGTGCTCAAAAGGTCATCTTTTGCTCTCTTGTCATATTGGTTACATTTCTTGCACTGAGGAGTACAAGGTGGTTTGCCATTGTGAAATATCAGGTGGAGAATATAGATGGTTTGTATTGTCTGTGGATAATAATAACATGTCATGGAGAAGAATGGAGACTTCACTAAAAGGAATCAGTTTTATTGTGATGATAGAGCTTTAGTGTCTGTTGGAGGCGCTATTTATTACTCTCAAATGAACAGTCATATTTTTGCTGTTGACCTTTATGATGACACTTCTCACTCCGTTCAAGTTCCAAATGAATTTGTTGGGAGTTGTTATAGTCTTCTTGAGCTGGAGAATAGTTTATCTTTCATTGTGAGACATTCGGCAGAGGTTCATGTATGCATATTAAAGGACTTACGTTGCAATGAATGGGCTAAACTTTACAAGATTACAGAAGCAATAGATGGACCGAATATTTTATGTGAGAGTTTCATACCTGTTGGTTGTTGGTTGGCTGGATGATGGCCAAATCTTGGTCTTCATTCACTTTAAAAAGTTGGTTGTGGCTTACAATGTGAAAACAGGAGAGGCAAGATCCTTCGATGTTTTCAGCTCTGATTTCATACGGAAACACACCAACGGCCTTGTTTCATGGTAAATATGCATTCAAAACTATTAAGTATTTCTTTTGATTATTGGTTATGAAATCATTTTTGCTTGTACTCATGAATTTTATTAGTTGAAGACTTTATTAATAGTTTATTTTCTTGTGGTATCCATCTGGGTGTTGTGTAGAATGGGTAAGTAGACACCTTTTTTCTTTTTCTTTTTTTCCTAATATTATTATTTGTAGAAAAAGATAGAACATAAACAAGAGGGGATGAAGAATTATGTAAATTGTATTTCAGGAAGAAAGGATAGATAGGTAGCACAATTTGTTGCCTAAAAGGAACAGATGGAGCTACATCTTAATGAATGGTCTTAGTTATAATTTTTTTTTATAACCGAGAACCGACCCTAGTAAGGGGTCTTTGGGACCCACCTTAGAAGTGCAAACTCAAGATACATGCTACCACCTGCTAACCTCACATATCGACCACTCGATAGCCTGTCATATTGAGTGGTGTCAGTTGATTACACTCAATTTTTATTTTTTTTAAAAAAATTAAATGTAGAAATTTATCCAAAATGTTTGGAGTTTTACAAATTGAACCTAGTGGTAGAGAAAAAAAGAGTTATTTTGCTATTCCACTTCATTATAAACACTATCTAAAATTTGTCTTTACTGTTTAAACTTATACATGACATGATTCTTAATGCATATTAGAATATAAATTTTGAAGTGTATTTATAATGTGGAAAACAATAGCAAATGTTATTGTCATTGATTGTATGAGTTAACTGTAGATATTTGCTTTATTTTTGTTGAAGCAATAGTATTATAGGGAGAGGGAAGGGGAGGGAGTGAATAATTGTTTTGAAAGAAAAAAAAAAACGTATTTTGTTTTCGTTTTCAATGTTTTGAAAATTTTAGAATTGATTCTACCTTTATGAAAATGAAAACAATATACTAAAACACAAAACAAAAACGGAAGAATTAACAAATGACCCCTTCTCAATGTTTGTTTTTATATGTAATTTGACAAGTTTGAATTACTTTTGTCTGTTTGATTGAAAATATATAAAATTATAATGTATTATGTGAAAGCTGATTTTGATGGGTTGTGTAGAACCAAATTTTTACTTAATGACTTGATGATATTTGTTGAATGACTACTGAATTAAAATCCTAGTTATGCCACTGAATAGGAACATATTTCATCAACACCTAAAAGGTTTATGCAATATATCTGGTATGTAAGTAGGCAAACATTTCTATTGGAAAATTGGAAGTTTCCAAGTCCATAACTCTTAATGTACAAAGTAGTAATAGTAGTCTGGATTGAGGATGATTAGTAATATCTGATGTGTCCTCAAAAAATAAAAACTTAAAAGAAAAAGAACGAAAATGTATGATGTATAAAAATGATGCAGTAGTGACAAGCATACTAGTAATTACGTTCCGAAGCATACTAGTAAATACACACATGCACATGGTATTTTTGCTTTTATTTGGATCCTTAAATCTGTATGCTCTGTTTGTGCAGGAAACATTTAGAAGGCAAGGACAAGAGAGGAGGAGTTTGATCAACATAAAACGTTGGCAGAAGCTAAGCTGCAACATTTGGAGTTTGAATTCTATTTCTTTGCATGACGCCAGAGTTTATAAAAGATTATGTATACCAACTTGGGGGTAACTTGCTTTGAACCATTATCGGTGTCCAAGTTGTGCGTATAATTTCTTACAGTGTGTGCTTTTTTTGTTTTTGTATTTTTGCAAGAGTTTGTTATAAATAAGGCTTGGAAGTTGATTAGGAAAATAGTAAGGGATGAATGAAGTTTGGGCAGGGTATTGGCCCTAACAGTTGAAGACTAAGTGGTTGGTAACTTTGAAGTGTCTTTGGTTTTGTGTGTGCTGGTTTACTTTTGTTTTTGTTGTGTGTTACCTAGTTCATAAAACAATTCTGTAGATTTATGAAGTTACCTTTTGCCCTGTGTATGCAATATAGTGATGAACATAGCGTTTGTGGGTTTTGCTTGGTTTTCTTGTGAATGTGTTTATCTGTTTGGTATGCATATTTTTCTTTGGTTGAACATTTTAAAATTGAGAACAGTTTTTACTGTCAAAGAGAGACAACATCTGTTTGGTATGCATAATGGTTTGCAATTGTATTATGAGAGACAGTTGGATAGGGGATCGACAGCGAGCAATAAAAGGTTTGTTTTATTTTTGGAGCAACTATTTTCAAGTTTTGAGTCACAGAAATAGTCTTTTTATAGAACTTTATTTTTGGAGTGGCTATTCAGGTTCACATAAACCTCTTCGGAAATCTGGGACAAGACTATTTGCATGATAGCCTCCCTAGAACCTGTTTTATACAAAGCCTGAATTGTCCTTTCTGATAAAATGACTATTTGGTAGAGAATAATTGTGGAACCTGAGAAGCAATTCATGGGGTCATGAAGGAACTCTGAAATTTTGGTTTTTGGTCTTGACTTCTTGGGAATAATTCTATTCACACACTATACATAGCTTGTTTGGAAATTGGCTATTTTAGTTAAGTTTTGACTTTTTATGAAAAGGCGCACAAAAAATAGAGAAAGTGATGTGATAATTTGATTTGACATTTTAATTATTTTAGACAAAAAGTTGCTCTCCAAACAACCATGTTTACATTGTTTGTGTAATTTGGATATTTATTTCTGAACAAAAAATAATTGTTCGGATTAACTACTAAATAGTATATTCATTCATAAGTTGATACTTGAACAATTGATTTTTATTCAAAAATTGACATCCAAATCACAAAATGGTGTGAATTGAGACAAAATTTGGTTTTCCTAAACAAAAAAAACTTGGCCATCAAGGAGATTTATCAATTCAAAGGCCACAAAACTCCACTCGAGGATGGAATTTGACGTCGGAATTCAAAACCATTTGAGAAACACCCATCCATGTCAAGTCCATAAATTTAGGGTCTGTTTAGTAGAAACGGGACAGCTGTTGTGTTTCCAACATTGGAGTTCTTGTTGTGTTTCTGATGGGATTTATTAATTTTATTTTGATAATTTAAATTATTTATTTTTTCACGTACATCAAGAAAAATATATTTATAAAAAATTAAGTTGATTGGATATTAATAACCTTTTATATTCAGTTTTAGATATAAATGCGATTAATGAAAGGGCTATCGATATCTAATTATTTTTTATAGATACATTTTACTCGATATATCCTAAAAAAAGAACGATTCAGATTATCAAAATTGAACTGAAAATGAGCCCTATTGAGTGCACAATTGTGAGTGTTGTGTAATTGTGAGTGTTGTGCTCACTTTGTTTAATATGGTTTTCATTTTGAAGTTTTAGGTTTTTCTGGTTTTCACAAATTAAAACAATGAAAATTTTGAAAATACTTATTTATTTTATATTATTTACACTTCGGCTTTGTTTGTTTCGACGTAAAATATTTTATACAAAAAAATTATTTTTCTTGTAAATTGATTTTACACATAAAAAGTGTTAGTGTTTTTGTTTTTGTTTTTATTTTTTGGTGTTTGGTTGACATTTGAAACAAAAATATTTTATTGCGTAAAAGAGAAATTTTGATTCAATAAGTTAAGACATATATTTGAAAATGCTAAATGTGTTGAAAAAAGTAGCGAGTGAAAGTCAATTTTATAAAAATTAATTTATTGAATTTTTAAAGGCAAATTATTTTTGAGAAAATGATGCAAAAATATTTTGCTTACTTTTTGTTTAACCAAACAACGAAAAATGAGTAAAATATTTATGACAAAAATATTTTACGTCAAAACAAATGGAGCCTTCATGTAAAAATATATTGTAAAATTTTAAAAACAATCAAAGAACGAAAAATGAGTAAAATATTTTTGACAAAAATATTTGATGTCAAAACAAACGGAGCTTTCATGTAAAAATATATTGTAAAATTTTAAAAACAACTTATGTTTATACATACATACATACATATATATCTATCTATATATATAAGTAGCTCATTCAATAATTTTTGTCTACCAAATAAGCCCTTGGTATATATATCTCATTACTTATGTGTGTGCTTGAAACTGATAGTAATATATTGAATCTGTAGTTATTGAATGATTTGTGCTTGCCTTGTTAGTTATAATATAACGATTCTGATTTAGACTCAACCCATTTACTTGTTTCTGGACCCGAGAATCCATGTAATTAACTATTGTTCATCTCATTTCCATCTTATTGCTTGTTGAGTTTGGCTATTGGGAGTGTTGGTTGTGTTTGGAACAGGTTAGGAAGTCAGTTTTCCAATGAGTTGTTGCTTAGATTTTTATCTGTTTGCTCAAGCGGTCTTTTACAGTCTGCAAAACTACTGGATGTGTGTTATTTTTCGCTTGAGCTTGAGCAATTTTTTGCACGTCTGAACTTCTGGGAAGGGGGTCATTGTATGCTCGAGCGGTGGTTTTGGTCGCTCGAGTGGTGCCACCTTTTGTGTCTGTTCGCTCGAGCGGTATTTTGGTTACTCGAGCGGTATTTTGGTCACTCGAGCGGTCTATGCGTATATTAGTTTGAGAGAGGGCCATTTTGAGTCACTTTTTCATCTCATTTTCTCTCTAAACATTTCAAAACCCTAGATCTATCCCCCCTCTCTCTCATCTTCTCTCGAAGTTCTTACCTTCTAGCTCTAAATACTCTCAATCCATTCGTTTTCTCACCATAGTCCTTTGGAGAAAAACGTAGAGCTCGGCGAGACCTTTGTTTTAATCTGAGTGGATCGTTGTTTTGTCGCCAGTGATTTTTTGGTTATCTTCTCTTTCCTTCAAGAGATAGGGATTTCTTTGCTCCTTTTCAATACTTCGTCTATAGATAGGTATATGGTAGATTTTATTACATGAAAAGCATGTTTATTATGAATTTTC